ATATCACCAAATGAACATTAGAAGAGTTAAGAAGGTTTGGAAGAGTTCTATGAAACGTATTTGGACAAGGATAAATATCTTGCGTTTTACAAACATGCTCTGTCAATGGTTACGCTATTTGGAAACACGTATGCGTGTGAACAACTTTTTAGTCGCATGAAGTATATCAAATCACAAGTGAGAACACGAATTACTGATGTTCATTTGGAAAACTGTTTGCGTGTAGCGACAACATCAGTCCAGATCAATTTTGATGCACTTACTTGTTAGTTCTGTAAAACAAAGTCAAATTTTTAAATTGTCTAATAAATATGTTTCTCGGTTATTAAATAAATGATTCTCGGTTATGTTTTATTTTCTTCAAAAAAATAAATATACCTATTTTTTGTGTTTTTTTACATTAAATCAGGCAAGTGTTTGACCACGATCTCACCTACTGGAAAGCAACGATGCGGATGAAGGTGTAGCACGCTTGCTTGTTTACTTTAATTAAAAAAAAATTTGGTGCGTGGCCCGGCAGGAAATATTATTTTTGAAATTTGGCCCGCCTGCTAAAAAGGTTGGCCACCCCTGATTTAGACCATGGAATTAGTTTTACAAAGGCCTCGTTTCTTTTAATTAACATCTTGAACATTAATGTGTCCGATACAGGAAATGTTAATTTCCACTTTTTTAGCCATGAAATTTGTATTTTGTATTGCATTTATCATTGCCATGCTTTTGAGGGCCAAAGATTTAAACATTTACAATTTTCCACCAAGTTATATGAAGATACATGCACTTTTTTGTATATTTTGGAAACACAGTGGCATTATTGCTTGCAATACATCTCAAAGCAGAAATATTTTTTCATGAAATATTCACAATGCTAATTTAGCATTTTGTTTTTGAATATTAGATGGGTTCTTTAAATTGAAAGAAACTTAACATAGTAAATGCTCATATTTCAGTAATTTCCAGATGTATAAATTTGCATCTTTTATATTATCCATGTCAGGAAATTTAGTGGGTTTATTTTCAGTTATAAGTGTAAAAAATCTTAGTATTGCAAACATTTTTTAATTCTGTTTGCATCATTGTCTCTAACTGTCTAAAGGATGTGGAGTTGATGGCTATAAAAGCTTTATGATTAACAGTATTGTTATTTGCTATTGTGATGATCTGGAGGGGTTAATTAGAGCTAATTGAATTAACAGCCAAAAGGAGGAAAAACCGAGATCTCAACTGGAAACTTCCTGGCCGATTGAAAAGATAGATAGGTTTTTATCGAAATGATTGTCGATTCAGAGGGATATTTGATGTTTGGACTTGTTACAACCTTAGTCAAAACATTCGATTATTAACGATGGGAAACTGTCAAGTGGTTAAATTATGAGATAAGAAGAGTCCCAACACCTCATTGATGACATCTACAAATTAATGTTGTTGCCATATATGGGAAAGAGATTCAGACCGCTGTGGCCGAGGTAATGACAGGTGACTTTGATTTAATGTGGTCTGACTTCTCTCTCTCATGATCAATGCATATAAAAAGGGCTCCAAATTGAGTCTCAGGGTGGACATCTAGGAAGAGCTGAATGATGCTTTCACCTCCTGTCGATGACCTGATACTACCTCCACAAAGATCCATGATCAGTTTGCAACCATCATATGAACAGGATCACAATGCTTCCAAGGTATTTTACTTAGAATTGTAAACACACTCTAAGTTGACTTAAGATCTTAAGTTTAGAGGCAGTATATATCCGATAGATATTGAATAGGGATGTACTGTACTATGCATATATTTGTAATTGTAGCTAGTTGTAAATTACTTTGTTCCAAAAAGTAATTTACAACTAGCTATGATTACATATATTTACATACGATTATATAATATTAAATTTGTTGTTTTGTTTAACTGGGGTTGATATCAGTTATTACTCTATGAAACTCTCTCGATTCATATCCCTCCTAGCCACCAAGTGAGTGGTCTTCACCAGACCGTCTCTGTTAAAAGGGGTGTAAAGTTCAACACTCTAATACTGTGAGGAACCGGGGGTAAAGAAATAACTTTTAAACTTTAAAAATCATATATAATTTAACTGCTGAAAATTATTGATTTATGTTATTGATTTATGGTAGTTCCTGAACATGTGTATCAATAACTAGTGACATTATACACTTGGTGGCTCCCCTCTGGGAGGAGTCAGTTGGGAGCATGAACAGTTGCAACTGCTGCCATGACAGTGCAATGCTAGCAAGAACTTATTTTTAAATAAAAAAAAAAAACTTTTACTCACGATTAATATACTGTTAATCAATTTTATTCTGCTTCTTGGACTTAGAACTTGATTCTCCAACATCTGTAGTGACACGCTGCTTTGTTGATTCTTTTCCCTTTGCTTTTACCACACGTTTCTTTTTTTTTTCCTCTTTGCATTTTCCTTCTTGGATATTGCTTTTGGGGCTGTGGGAACAGTTTCTGGTTCTTTCCATATTGGCACACGGCTGGCTCCTGGATAAATCTTACTTAAATGCTGAAGAAACAATTTGAATTGTTCTCCCGGTTTTAATTTTTCCTATTTCAAAAGTTTTTTGTACATAAAGGCATATAAATACGAATCACACAGATCCTGAGTACACTGAATTGGAAGGTTCTTTTTGTTCTTCAAACAACCCCACAATCATTTAATGCTTTGAGTATGGACGTCCGTAACCGGATCAACAAAATTTTCAGCATGCTTTACTGTTTCATGATAAATATCAAGTCCTTCTAAATCGTCTATATGATTATAACCCTTCCATTTGTCTGTGTAGATGATGGTTCCAGAATAGACAAATGTATTAATGACCCAATTAAGGCTTGCTTCAGATCTATCATTTACTTTGCACAGGAAGCACGATTTGACCTCTCGGCATATTCCGCCTACAACCCAACTAGTTCTTTTCAATTTCTTCCCTTTTTCATTCTTCTTTTTACTTACAACAGTTTCTTATATCTCGACAATCTTACCGAGTCCTGCTATTTTCATTTTTGTTAAATTGTGCAAGGAAATCATCATGACGTGTTTTATAAAATTTGCCCAGTCAACAGCCGTTCTACAACTCACTCCTACAACCAAACACGTGGTCTTCAATGGGCACTCAATGCAAATGAGATGCCATATGAATAATAAAATAGTACCCCACGAATTTTTACCGAATTTACCTTTAAAGGTTCCTTCAAACGCCGAACTGCTTGCCTTACATTTGTGACATCGAAAGTAAATAAAGTCAGTATCTTTTCTAAATAACAGTTTACGCCGACTGTCGCATTTGTCGCAATCTGCATCAACAGGTTGTAAGCCGAACTTAATCGCAAACTTTAAATCAGACAAAATTCTCCCGTCGACACCTAATTCAGGAAACTGTGATTCTAAACATTGAAAAAAGTCCTTCGAGGTCCACTTGCAAAAATCCATTCCGAGATGTTATGACGTTTGAACAAAGCGCGTTAGACCAATAGAATTGTTCGAATTAGACCCTACAGTTCAAATTTACTAACAGCGCCAACTACATGAAATTCAAAAGATTACCACGACGGTGCACGTAGGTAAAATTTATCCTTAAATTGTCTAATAAATATGTTTCTCGGTTATTAAATAAATGATTCTCGGTTATGTTTTATTTTCTTCAAAAAAATAAATATACCTATTTTTTGTGTTTTTTTACATTAAATCAGGCAAGTGTTTGACCACGATCTCACCTACTGGAAAGCAACGATGCGGATGAAGGTGTAGCACGCTTGCTTGTTTACTTTAATTAAAAAAAAANGTAAGAATTTTCATTTAAAATGATAATAGTTACAGTATTTTCGTTTTTATTCACGTTGTACGGGCTTATTTTGTTAAAAGGGCACTTATACAGTTTAAGGGGTATAGCAATTTGAGAGGTTTACTTCCATAAAATTAACTAAATCTAGACTAATTTCACTCGAATATTTCCAAAACACGTATAATTTGTTGAAATGATCGATTTAAAATATGCTATAAACAAAAAAATGTCGGATTACTTACCGAGTGTACCCGTTCGAAGACGCCATTGCTTAAGCTTTGTGCCGCTCCGCGACGAAAACTTCTTCGTCCGCGTCCGCTTCCAATGTGTCACGTGACATGTGCCTTTTTCTTGTTACACAGAATAGCAGAGAAACCATTCAGTGGGCAATGGACAACGGCCTAATAAAAAAGCATCGCAATTGTGAAAACGGACGTTGTGCAGGAGTAAATGTGATGCGATTAGAAGAAGTGGCGAGTACAGATGGATTAATTTGGCGATGTTCAGCAGGTACGGCTTGTAGAAAGAAGATTTCTATACGAAAGGACTCATTTTTTGAACGTAGCCATCTACCAATTGCAAAGATTATACAATTGGCATATATGTGGGCGTTCGAAATAGACAAACAGGACTTTATTCAGAGAGAACTCCAAATTTCTTCTCCCAACACAGTCGTAGACTGGAAACAGTTTTGCCGTGACATATGTCACGAGTGGATTATTAGAAATCCAATTGTTATTGGAGGACCTGGCCACACAGTGGAAATCGACGAAAGCTGTTTTGTTCGTCGTAAGTACAATCGGGGACGTCTTGTGAGAGAACAGTGGGTGTTCGGCGGCTACGACGTGAACACCAAGCAAAGTTTCATGGTCGCAGTTGACCAACGGAATGCCGCCACTCTGCTGCCCATTCTACAGCAATTTGTTTTGCCCGGAACAATTGTCGTTTCAGATTTGTGGGCTGCCTATAACACAATTCGTAATTTAGGTTACCAACATCTGACAGTTAATCATTCCATAAATTTTGTTGACCCTATCACAAATGTAACCACAAACCACGTGGAGTCGATTTGGCAGAAGGCCAAAGAAAAAAATAAAAGACGATATGGCACGCATCGTGCGATGCTAGACAATTATTTAGCTAAATTTTTATGGAGACAGCGTTTCCAAAAGGACGCATTTCACAGTTTTATTTCGCATGTGCGCCAGGTTTATCCTGACGCAGCTAATTAGTTGTCTAATTTTAATGTATAGTTTCATAGTTGTAAATTGTGATTATAATAAATTGTTTCATTCATTCCGTATTATTTTTTATTTTATTTATGTGTTGTATTAGACATTATCATCCATTACGAGGGGAAAATACCTAATATAACAAATAAAATTAAAAACGTTAACAAGGAACAACTGAAAATAATAATAAACGCAGATATTTTATGCAATTAATTCTTTCTATCTTCTTTTCGAAGATAGAAAGAATTAATTTCATAAAATATCTGCGTTTTGATAAATGATAAACGCAAATACGATAGTCATATCGAAAATTTAAGAAAAACTGTCGCTAAGTTTACTGGCATAATCAGAAAAATACAGGATTTCATAAACATAAATACGATAAAACAACTACGTCATATCTGTGCAGAACCGAAAATTCTATACGGTATAACTATATAGTAAACTACATCGGATTATATCGTTAACCGTTTGCAAACACAACAAAATCACCTAATGAGAGAACCATCTTCAAATTAAACTACTACGAATCAACTTCCAATTGTTATCGACAACATAAAAACTTTATACGTAAAGCAAACTATACTTCTCTCTTTAAATTTATAAAGCTTAAAACACATAACAGTTATCTTCTAAGCATTTTTAAAAATAATCGCAGGAAGGATAATTACTGCCATCGTTTAGATCAGTGTTTCTCAACCTCTAACGAATCGTCGCCCCCTTCAACGTAGTATCGCCCCTTCAATAAAACTATTTCATAGTATCGCCTCCTTCACTTCAAAATTCCGATGCCGAGGGCCAAGGCTAACGATAAATTGTAAGGTACACTGGAAAAATCTTATGAATCTTGATTTCTTGATACAACTTTGCTACTAATCAGAAAGGCAAAATAAAAATTTGTAAAAAAATTATAATAAAATTTCAAATTTTCGAACGAAACAAAAGTAATTAATTTATAGAAATTCGCAGAACTTTGTANCATTATGGGTTCGGCCAGACCCACAACGGAGCGATCGGGTGGTGAGGGACGGGGTCCGACGGCCCAACCTCCGAAAATTTCCTAAGGATTTTTTGACCCGTCCGGATTCGTTCGGATTATAAATTTCCATCGTCGTCCTTTGTCCACCCTTGTGATCCGCCCATCGGCGATCACTGCTAATGGATTCGCGTTTCGCCAACAGACTGGACACGGAATTTCCCGGTTTTCTTTACGTTTGTAACACATAAATACGCATTTCCCATAAAAGTCTTGAAGGAGATACCCCACTTCGGCATTTTACCTACGTATCTCGTTGTCATAAACAAATAATCAAACCCGTCTGTCCATTAATTTTGAGAACAGAGTTCGATGAAAATTGACACCAGATACGAAAAACTTATTTTTGAATTAAAATACAGTACTGTAATTATAAATTTAATAAGTAATTCCTCGTTTTATTCCGTACTTCAGGAGACAGATGTAAATTTTCGAATAAATTCCCGACGAATTTTCAGTTGTTATAAAACACCTATTAAATATTCAAAATACACTTTTGGAGCGCTTCTTTTTCGTATATTCACAAAGAATCTTTAATATTTAAATCGAACATAAAGGAGTTAACAAGCGAGGCAACCAACTGAGGATTACAGAAATGCACGTAATGGTTTCCCTCTAATTTAACCATTTCGAATGTTGGGCATTTGGCTTTGTAAATTTCCAAAAGTTCGTTCACGTTTTCGTTCGTAGTGTACGAAGATTCTGTACCTTTGATAAGCAATACATCACACTTTACGTTCGAAATGATTGTTTTCGTGATGTCGCGACACAGTAAACCATTATCCCACACATTCTTCACTCTAATGTCGCGCGAGAAAACCACTTTCCCGTTTTCCAGTGGTTTAACTCCACGTTTCATCAACACTTTTGCACCTTCTTCGGTAAGATCGTTATATGTACCCTTTATCAGAAGCTTAACGGCTTCATCTATGGAATAAGCGGGTGGTTCGTTGTTCAGCTTCTCTTCTAATTCGATAAACCTGTATATATTATTTTTCGTAACTTCTGGCATCAGTTCCGAAGAGTACATCGTATTACTTAGCACGTCGTCTAAACCAATAACTTTCCTTACCGATTGTGGATAAACACCGGCAAACAGGACGGCAAGAGTGTATGCTACACTGTGTGTTAACATTGAGAATTCCTTCCAGTTATAGAAATCGGCAACAATTTTGATTTGATTTATATAATCCCAAAAGTAATACGGATGACCCAAAGGCTTATGAGACGATAGGCCGTGTCCTGCTCGATCTACGGCGACAATATGCAAATCCGTGGAAAGATGAGGAATCAGCGGATCGAATGATCCCGCATTATCTTGCCATCCGTGAAGAGCTATCAATTTCTTCCCCGATGCGCATCCGTATTCCTTTGCTGCCAAATGTCCGTATTCGATAGGAATTCGAACTTCTTTAAAAGTTGCTCCACTTCCCATCTTTGTGATTTGCATGTTTCGAGTTGTCCACGAATGGATCCTATGGAAAGAAAATTTACATTAAATTGAACGGATAAAACTTTCATATTGAAATAACTTTTTTAAGTTAACTATTAATTCCGGACATTCCTGCCGGGAGTTGCGGTAACGTTTGATCAACGATCCTTGACTCTATAAGCTTTGTTGCATCTTTCGGATTTCTAATATACGTTTTTACGTCTTTCCACTCTAGTCATCTAACATGTCAACGCTTTACTTTACCAGTCGACCCCCCTATAACACTGTTGATTATTCCGTTTTATATGAATTCCATGTTGTACGAGTCACTTACATTTTACAAGTACATGAGCCGTTCACAACCCGGCACACGTATTTGTAAAATCTAAGTGACTCGTACAACATGGAATTCATATAAAACGGAATAATCAACAGTGTTATAGG